TGGCTCCTTTGTCAAAAATTGTTTGCACATATACCTGTAGTTTTATTTCTGGGCTTTCAGTTCTGTTCCACCGGTTAATGTGTTTATTCTGCCAATACCATGCTGTTTTGATTATCATAGCTTTGTAGTATAATTTGAAATCAGGTAGTGTGACACCTCTGGCTTCATTCTTTTTTTATCAGGATTTCATTGGCTATTTGGGGTCTCTTGTGATGCCATGCAAATCTGGTGATTTTTTTTGTTCTATTTCTTTAAAAAAGGACATTGGAATTTTGATGGGGAGTGCATTAAATCCACATGTTGCTTTAAGTAATATGCCCATTTTAACTATGTTGATTCTTCTAATCCATGTACATGGGATATCTTTCTATTTCATTGTGTCTGTTTCAATCTCTTTTAATAATGCTTTGTAGTTTCCTGTATATAGGCCCTTCGCATCTTTTGTCAAGTTTACTCCTAGGTATTTTACTTTAATTAACTTTATTTTTAAGTATATTTTATTGATTATGTTGTTAAACTTACCCTAATTTTCTCTCCCTTTGTCCTACTCCACGAAGGAGTAGGTTCCCTTCCCCGCTTCCCTCTAGCTGTCCCTCCCCTTATTTCATGTCCATGAGTCATGCATATAAGGTCCTTGGCCTCTCCGTTCCCTATAGTGTTCTTAACATCCCCTTGTGTGTTTTGTACCTACTAATCATGCTTTTTAATCCCTGTACCTTTTCCCCCATGCTCCCCCTTCTTCCTCCCAACTGATAACCCTTGTGATCTCCATGTCTATGATTCTGTTCCTGTTCTAGTCGATTGCTTAGTTTGTTTTTGTTTTTTTACATTCAGTTGTTGATAGTTGTGAATTTATTGTCATTTTAATATTTATACTTTTGATCTTCTTTTTCTTAAATAAGTCCCTTTAACATTTCATGTACTAATGGCTTGGTGATGATGAACTCTTTTTAACTTTACCTGGTCTGGGAGGCATGTTATCTGCCCTTCCATTCCAAATGATAGCTTTGCTGGGTAGAGTAATCTAGGTTGTAGGTCCTTGTTTTCCATGACTTTGAATACTTCTTTCCAGCCCCTTCTTGCAAAGTTTCTTTTGAGAAATCAGCTGACAATCTTATGGGCATTCCTTTGTAGGTAACGCTTTACTTTTCTCTTGCTGCTTTAAGATTCTCTCTTTATTTTTAACCTTTGGCATTTTAATTATGATGTGTCTTGGCGTGTTCCTCTTTGGGCCTAACTTGTTTGGAACTCTGTGTGCTTCCTGGACTTGCATTTTTATTTCCTTGCCAAATTAGGAAAGTTTTCTTCTATTTTTCCAAATAAACTTTTAATTTCTTGTTCTTCCTCTTTTCCTTCTGACATTCCTATTATTCAGATAGGAACAATCTCTTTTGGAGATTTCCTATTATTCAGATAGGAATAATCTCTTTTGGAGATTTCCCAGAGTCTTCTTATACTCTCCTTGTTTTTTTGTTTTTTTGTTTTTGTTTTGAATTCTTGTTTCTTCATTCTGTTCTGGTTGAATTTTTATTTCTTCCCTATGTTCCAAATTGTTGATTTAAATCCTGGCTTTCTTCCCTTCACTGTTGGTTCCCTGTAGGTTTTTCTTTATTTCATTTGTTATAGCCTTTATTTATTTCTTTATGTTTTTGCTGTACTCAGTAATTTCTCTCAACATCCTTATCATCCATGTTTTGAACTCTGCATCTGATAGGTTGACTATCTCCATTTTGCTTAGTTCTTTTTGTGGGGTTTTGTTCTGTTCTTTCACTTGGGCCATATTTCTTTGTCTCCCCAAGTTGGCAGCCTCCCTGTATTTGCGTCTGTGTATTAGGTAGAGCTGCTGACTCCCTGTCTTAATGCACCAATTAAGTTGTAAGGGGTGGGGCCTTAGGTATTCACCAGGGTGGGGCAGCCCGTTTCACTGCTTTGTGGTGCTGTATGTGGACAAGGGGTTAGAGGGGGGACAATGCCACTGCCTGGCCTCTGGAGACTTACCCAGCATTCGCCCTGTTTCCATTTGCTTCAGCCATTTCCCATATGCTACTGGTGCCCTTCTGTCTGCTTCCTTGGTGATGATTCCCAGAGTGGGTGGGTTTGCTTATGTTCTAGAACAATGCAGGCCCTTTAAATGGGCTCTCCTGAGAAATTGGCAGTTTCTTCCACTGCCCCAACCCACTGCTTTTTATAGCCAGAAGTTGTGAGGCTTTTTATCTTCCCAGTGCTGGAACCCTGGGCTGCACAGTCGGGCCTGGGACTGGAATTGCTCTCTCCCAATGTATTCCTCCCAATTTTTATCCGCTACACATGAATGTGGGACTACCTGTTCCACTGGCTCGCCACACTGCACCATATCCTCTCCATCCCAGCTCCCCATCTCCGCCCCTCCTACTGGTCTGGATGAATGTGACTTCTTTAAATCCTTGTTTGTCAGACTTCCATACAGTTCAATTTTCTGGCAGTTCTGGGTGTTCTTTATTTAGGGGTTAGTTGTGATTCCCTTTCTTCCCTTCACTGTTGGTTCCCTGTGGATTTTTCTTTATTTCCCTTGTTGTAGCCTTTATTTCTTTCCTTATGTTTTTGCCATACTCAATAATTTCTCAATGTTCTGTATGTTCTAGAACCATGCAGGCCTCTTTGTGGTTGTGCAAGGAGGCGAAGTGTGTCTACCTACTCCTCCATCCTGACTGGAAGTCTGTTTTATTTTTATATTTTATTTTGGTTGCAATTGCAAAAGGAATCGTTTATTTTTTTCTGAAATTTTATTGATAGTATACAGGAAAACAATGGATTTTTATACATTGACTTTGTATACTGCAACTTTACTGTATGTTTATTGTTTCTGATAGTTTTTTGGTGGAGTCTTTAGGGTTTTCTACATACAGAATCATGTCATCTGCAAAAAGTGATACTTTTACTTTTTCCTTCCCAATTTCTACTCCTTTCTCTTGCCTGATTGCTCTGGCTAGGGTTTCCAAAACTATATTGAATGTGGGTAGTAAGGGTGGGTATCCTTGTCTTTTCCTGATTTTAGTGGAAAAGCTTTCACTTTTTCACCATTAATTATGATATTAACTGAGGGTTTGTCATATATAGCCTTTATTATGTTGTGGTACTTTCCTTTTATATCCATTTTGTTGAGTATTTTTTAATGTATTATTGTATTTGATTTGCTCATATTTTGTTTAGGATTTTTGCATCCATATTCATTAGTGATATTGGTATGTAGTTTTCTTTTTCAATGTTACCCTTGCCAAGTTCTGGTACCAGGGCTATGTTGGCCTCATTAAAATTGTAAGGAAGTATTGCCTCTTCAGTTTATTTGGAAGAGTTTGAGGACAGGTATCAAATATTCTTTGAATATTTGGTAGAATTCAGTGGTGAAGCCATCTGGTCCTGGACTTTTATTTTGTGGGAAGTTTTTGATGGTTGTGTCAATTTCCCCACTGCTGATTAGTCTATTTAGATTTCCCATTTTTTCATGATTTAGTCTGGGAAGGTTACATATTTCTAGAAATGTATCCATTTCTTCTGGGTTACTGAACTTTGTGGCACATAATCATTCATAGTACTCCAGTATGATCCTTTGTATATCTGTGGTATCTGTGGCAACTTTTCTTTCACTTCTGATTTTGTTTATATGAATCTTTTCTCTTTTATCCCTAGTGAGTCTAGCTCTAGTGAGTTGTCAATTTTACTAATCTTTTCAAAGAACAAGCTCTTTGTTTTCTTAATTTTTCGTATAGTCTTTTTGTTCTATATTCAATTCTGCTCTGACTTCTATTATTTCCTTTCTTCTGCTGGCTCCAGGTTACCTTGTTAAGTTGTACTGTTAGATTAACTTGGGGTTTCTCCTATTTCTTGACATAGGCCTGCAATAATATAAACTTCCCTCTCCCTGGTTGGTGTGGCTCAGTGAATTGAGTGCCCGTCTGCAAATTATAAGGCTGCTGCTTCAATTCCCAGTCAGGACACACGCCTGGGTTGGTCAGGACACATTCCTGGGTTGTGGGCCAGGTCCCCAGTTGGGGGTGTGCAAGAAGCAACCAATTGATACATCTCTTGCACAGCGATGGTTCTCTTCCTCTTTCACCCTCCCTTCCCTCCTCTCTAAAAATAAGTAAATACAAATCTTTAAACTTCCCTCTTATTACTGCTTTTGCTGCTATGTCATTCTGTCATTCTCCTTTTGCTCTATTTGCTCCACTTGCCCACCTTTAGATGTTTCAATGGATGGATCTCTCAGGCATGTTTGTGTGTTGAGCAGGGAATCTTGTCTTGAGATATGGCTGTTCAGATTGTTGAAACTTCAAGGAGGGGAGATTAAGAGGATCTCTCATGCCACCATTCCTCTGACCAACACTTGAAATTAAACATACATTTAGTTTTCCTTCTCTGGCATAAATTTTAAGTCTATTACCTTTCTTTTTGTGTGTGAAATAAACATTTCTATATTGATCTAGGAGGTATAGTAGAATAAAATATAAGCAGTACTTGTAGTTTATGTTGTCCAGTTGATAAGCGTATCAGCATTGTGCTTTAAAGACCTGCTAAAGAGCTGTTAAAGGGTTATAAGTTATGATTAAGTTTGCTATTGAGTCTCAACATTTTGATTTTTAAAGTATAAGTTATATCTCTTCCACTGTTCTTTCACATTTTAGGCATTTATAGCAGCCTGAAGCAGAATCAGGATTTTCAAAACTGGCTGGACTTTCATATGTAATTTTAGCATATATGTACGTGATTTGTGTCAGCACCAGAATTTTATTCCAGTTCTCTAGGCTTATAAGTCCAGTGGTATACTTTTGTCTAGAGCTTGCAAGTTGTGACATGGAGAAGTTTTTAAAAATTCTTTCTTAGCACAGGAATCAAGTGAAAGCATGAGAAGATTATAAAGGGTAAAACTTATGTAAAAGTATATATACTATACTGGTCTGGTTGTTACTGAACCTAAGTCTTTATTTCAAGATTTTTAAAAGGCATTTTTTTTTCCTTCTCAGTGACTAATATCAATACAACTCAACTTCTTTCTTCAAAAAAAATCTCAGACTCAGCCCAAAAAGTTCCTCTAGAACCATCAAGTAATATTTTACTCCCAGTAAAGCCAATGATTCAATGTCAACAGGCAAAGAAAACACCTCTGCACAACTTAACTTATGGTAAAGTGCTTTTGGTTTTGTTCCTTAGTCTGTTATTTGAATGTATTGTTAAATGTTCTGGATAATTATTTCCCCTGTGTAGGCAACAAGCTTTGACTGTGGATGAAAGATTAAATCATAAAAGCCAGAGGCACTTGGAGAAGGACTGGGCAGGAGGGTGGAGTTTCATAACCCAATGACTTCTTTTAAATATAAACAGTTATAAATTGTCCCATTTCTCTTTTAAATTTCATATGAATTTTCTACAAACTTGGTTTGACTTTGTGGTTTTTGCAGAGCTTCCAATTCTGAACCAAGAATGTGAAAATATTTCAGCTGCAGAAGTCTCAAATAGAGTGTTAACTAGATCTCAGCTGGGGAAACAAATTCTTCTTTCAAAGGAGAATACAATTGCAACCACCAAGTTCAAAAAGAACATGTTTGTTTTAGAAGGCATTGATTCTGCCTATGAAAAATCCCAAAATACTACTGTTGAGACTCTCAATACTAACTGTGTTTCTATTAAAAATGGCTGTCAATTAACGGTTTCTGATAGTAAAGTAACAACAAAAGGAACTTCACGACCAGAAATTAAGGAAGGAAATGAGAAGACAATGCCCGGCGAAAGTGCTCTTCCAGGTTCTGTAAATGACACATGTAAAATTGTGCTTGCAACTCCAAGAGTCGATGTAACAATACCTCGGAGATCAAAAAGATACGCTTCAAGGCTTCCTCTGCCAAGTATATGTCAAACTATCACAGATGGAGTTAAAAATAATAAGGTAGGAAACCCTTAAGGCAGATGTGTGTGTGTTTTTTATTTTTTTATCCCCATTCTTCAGGAGCTTGAGCTCTTATGCTCTCTCATTATTAACAGTGCCTTCATGTTTGTTTTTTTAATTATTTAACATAGAGGCAGTGTGGCCTAATGTAAAGAGTAGTGGTTTGAAAGTAAGTAGACACAGGTGTTAAATCTTATGCTGTATTATTAGTTGTATAGCCTTCAACAATTTACTTACTCCCTTTGAGGATGAACACTAATTCTATTTCTGTTTGTAATTATTTTACCTGATTTCTGCAGTACTATTAACAGAACAATAGAGAAAGGAATTACATATAGCATCTAAGGATTTGGAATTTTTTTTCTGTTGTAATATAGTGACCAATAAAAGACTTCAGACCATCAAACTGTTAATATTAGGACATTCTCTGAAGAAACTGGAATGGAACAAGTGCAAGGAGAAAGATACAGTGTAAAATTGTTAAAAGTTTGCCCCTTCATTTTTAAAATGCTAATGGTGGTTTTTTTCCAGACAGCAGCCAGAGTCTTTATTTAATCCTCAATTTCCACCCAGCAGCTCCTTAAAATATTAAATCATGTCATCCTCTGTTCAAAAGTTTCTAGTAACTTCTTATCTCAAGAGAGAACACTGTCCTGGCTGGTGTGGCTCAGTTGGTTTGGAGCGTCATTCCTTACACTGAAGGGTCACGGGTTCAATTCCAGGTTAGGTACATGCCTAGGTTTTGAGTTGAGTGCTTGTTTGGGCAACTGATCAATGTTTTTCTTTCTGTCTCCTCCTCCCTCCCTCCATTCCCCTTTCTCTAAAATCAATAAGCATGTCCTCAGATACGGAATGAAAAAGAGAGAGAGAGAAAACACTAAGCTTTTACCGTGATTTACAGGACTATACATAATTCAGTCCTGGAGATATTCAGCCTCATCACATAGTCTTCAGCAAGTATTTGCTGAGTGAATATGAAAGCAGTATGGTACAGGACTCTGGAGCTAGAATTCCATTTTTACAACCCATCTGTGCCACTAACGAGCTGTGTGTGACGTGGACAAGTTATTTATATTATTCAACTAGACCTTACAGAGTTTCTTCATTTGTAAAATGAAGTTAATAGTACCTGCCTCCCTAGTGGTGTGAGGATAGCATGAGTCAATGCATCTGAGGTACTTGGAACACTACCTAGTGTTAACTTTTACTTTTGAAACCATTTGACTTATTCTTTGATATATCTCAGGTAGTTCCAAATGTGGAAGTAGAAAAAAGAGATTTTGTTGTTTCTTCCCTGAGTCCTACTTATATTTTTTTAAATGAACATAATTTCAGAAGGGCAGTAACTAAGAATATCATTCCATTTTAACATCTTTTCTTGAGTCAACATAAAACTACCATTGGAGAATTTACCTTTATATATAAATTTATGATTTTATATATAAAGTACATGACTTGACAAATTAGTTATTTTATGCCTTTGGGCTATATATCTCATCAGAAATAGTTCAATGTTAAATTATTACACAATAGAAAAAATAATTTCTTAGCACAGGTGTTCACAGAAGTTTTCCTTTATAATAGAATTTTACTTGCCCTAGAATAAGGAATTCTCTGAGCTGTTCAGATATTTACTTTGGAATAGAATGTTGTTAAATATAGATTATTAGCAATTATCTTTAAAGCTTATAGAAAATTGAATGCAACTTCAACTTTGCAAAAAAATATGATGTAATTTTTCAGTGATAATAGTGATGGTGACATGTATACTACATAGCTGACTCATTTTCTCCAAGTTATTGGGTCTTTTGGTGGGAATTGATGTTTTAATGGCTTTCTTAGGATTTTAGGTAATTTTTTTTGCCAGTAGTGAGATATTAGATATTAAGAATAGTTAAAATATAATTGATTCTGGATTGTAGAACATACTATAGTACTACTACAGTTCAGTCTCTTGCCATTCACCTTTTCTGTTTATTGTTTACAAGAGATTTTAATCTTATTGCTATTTCAAATAGAATGTGATTTTTATATAGATGTGCACTAAGGAATCATTTGGATTACTAATGAATTTTTTAATGTAAATTGATTTCGCAATATTTATGTTACAAGTAATGCAGAAAGTATATACTTTATTTTATCCTTGATTAGGTAGTCCAACTACAGGAATGGATGATTAAAATCATCAACAATAACACTGCTATATGTGTAGAAGGAAAACTGATGTGAGTATAACATTTTAATATTCTTTTAATAAAATAAGACACTGTATATCAGGTTAAAAGGAGAAGCATGAGAAATATTATTTTCCTGTAAAACGACTGTCTAACTAGGCTGCAAACTGAAGGCAAAAAGTAAAATGACTATACATGTTGATTGTAACCAGCTTTCCTGTTTTTGCCTTTCAGGTTATTTTTAAAATAGTGACAGCTCAAATCTTTATATGCAATGCTTTATTTTTTTCCCAGAGGTTTAGTAAGTTGACTGGTATTCGCTGCTTAATTACGTATGGTTAGTTAATATTTACTACATGCATTTCAGTCCAGATTCTCACATCTAAATTGGGACATCCAGATATAAATTAGTGATCAAGCCAGTGAATCAAAATTAATTAAAAACTTTGCCATACAGCTACATAATAAGTAATCATTGGCACTTTCTGGTTCTCCCTAAAGTGAGCATCATCAGGTAAGTGGGCTTTGCTTAATTCTGCTAATCTATTAGCACCATTTCCTGTTCAAAATCAATTTCTTAGTAGTAAAAAAGAAAAAATCATTAAAAATTTATGTAGTGAAAACAATACAGTATATCACTGTTAAAGTACTTACCTGGAAGTTTGTAAGTGGAATGTATAAAATCTGTTTTGCCCACTTCATTTCTGCCTGTTCGTGCGCATTTCCTGAATATCCAAAATGCAGCGTAGATTGCCTTGCTTGGAATCCCACTGCTGCTGCTTATTGACTGTATGACTTGTGCAAATTCTGTATTCTCCTTCATTCTCAGTTTTTTCATTTCTATAATGGCAATAATAATGTCTTTTGGGTTATTTGAGGTTTAAATTAGCTATATTTTTAAGACTTGAGAACAGTACTTTGAAGTGTTATTTAAATGTTTGTGAAATAAAATTAATAAAGCAAAAAAAAACAGGATGAAAAGTAATACTTTATTAAGGTACAATGTATGAATTTAGTTCCATTTCACCAAATGAAAGGAACTTCACTTTCTTATTACGCTTAGATATAGTATGTTTATTATTATCTAGTGAACTGAAGAATGTTCAACTAATAGATCTTTATATTTCATTCTGTTTTGTATTTATTCTTAGCTTCATTTAAGAAAATATTAAGAGAGGATTTATGGGTAAATGATTGACATTGCAGTTTGTTTTCCCTGGAACTTCTTTTTTGTACTTTTCAAAGAGAAAGGTAAAAATATTGGGCTGTATAGGGATGGTAAAAAACCCACAAGATTAACCCAGACCAATGTGTCTCAGTTGGTTCAAAGCAAAAGGTCACCAGTTTGATTCCCAGTCAGGGCACATGCCTGGGTTGTAGGTTCAGTCCCTGGTTGGGGCACGTGCAGTAGGCAACCGATCTATGTTTGTCTCTCATATCAGTGTTTCTCTTCTTCTCTTTGTCCCTTCCTTCCCCTCTCTCTAAAAATAAATAAAATCTTAAAAAAAAAAAACTCGCAAGATTAGATGGATCCAAACTGTATTATTATATGAAATCTAATACAGTACAGGCCCTGAGGACAGGGACAGGGAAGTCATTATTTGGAAGCTTAGCCTCAGTTAAGATGGAATTGCAAGCATTGTCAACACCATATATTTAGAGATGTTACCTGCTTCCGTGCTAATGATAATGATATATTAGGGGTATGGTTTGGTCACGGCGCAGTTTCTTGGCACATACTCTGAGGACCACATTAGCCAAGCAGTTGAGTTCTGCAGTGCTTGGCCCTCAAATGTCTTATAATTAGATTAATAATATTGTTAATATAGCTGGAATACAAATTTATTACTTTATATTATAAATATATACACTTATCTATGTACATTGTGACTGACTACTGGTAAAATATGAATTTTTTTGCCTTAACTAAGCTATTTTTTCCTCCTAGAGACATCACTAACATATATTGGCACAGTAATGCAATCATAGAACGAATTGAACAAAACAAACTTAGGACATTATCAGGCAACATTTATATATTAAAAGGAATGATAGATCGGATTTCCATGAAAGAAGCAGGTAATGACTGATTGTTGATTAATAAGTTATTTTAATAAGTGAAGCAATTAACCATTTTTCTAATACTAATATACATTTTTTTACTTTCAATTGGGTGTTTTAAAGTTGTGAATCAACCGTAATTAAAAATTAAAACAGGATTGATCACACTATGTACAACTATTTGACTGTTTAAATAAGTCTAGTGATTTTTTTTTTAGTTCAAGTGAAGTGTTTCTTATTTGGTAAGAATTGCTTTATGAGAATGTAGTTTAACTCCCTAGGTCCTCTTTTTGTTAAACCTGCCCAGCACAACCTGTCTTGGCATAATCTAATTTTCTGTCTGAAAGTGACTGAAGAAAAACACATCTGAACAGTCTACTTTAAATTTATGATTATTAGGAGCAGGTTGTGGTCCCTTAGTGCCCCTGGTCTCCTACCACATTTCTCTAATCCATTCAATTTCCCATCCTCCTTGATGACTACTTCATATTTTTACAGATCTCCAATACCCCCTTCCTCCCTCTTTCAGATTGGGAGATGGGATAGGGGAGGGAGGGTATCACCCGAGCAATAGGAACAATCAGAAGAGAACGTTTTATCTACTGACCTGCTTGCATCTGGACCTCCTTTTATATGGATCAACAGTCCCTGTTTCTGTCTGTGTCAGTCTCTCCATTTGTACTCTAGCTCCCATTTCCCCTCTTAACTCAAAGATATCACTGCAGTGATCCTCCCTTCTGTCAAAAACAATCCCTCTTTTTTTTTTTGAGAGAACAGTCCATCTTTTAACCACACTTCTTTCAACCACTATTGCTCTTAGTGACAGCAAAATAACTCAGAAGATTTGTTATATCTAATTACCCTTGAGGTTTTTCCCATTTTTTCTTGAATTCTCTTTAATCATGCTTTAATCTCCAATTCTTCACTGAAACAGCCTTTATCAAAGTCACCAGTGGCCCCCCCCCCCCGCCCCATTGCTAAATCCATTATGAACTTGACACAGTTAATCATACTTAACTCCTTGAAACACTTTCTTAATTTGGCTTCTGGAATACCATATTCCAATTTTCATGCTGTCTTACTCCCTGTGGTTTCTTTGTTCATTTTTCCTTCTTTGCATCTTAATAATAGGGTAGATTAGGGCTCTTTCTATATTAAGTGCTGTACCAATTTCTTTTAGGCTTTATTTCTTACCTATATGGTGACAAGTGCCAAATTTGTATCTTTAACCAAGAATACTCCCCTAGCCATTCAACTCCTTTTCCATCTGTTCATTTGACATCTCCATTATGATGTCTGCAGCCATCTCAGACTTAATACAATCATGCATTGCTTGATGACAGACATATGTTCTGAGAAATGGTAAGTAGTTTCGTTGTTGTGTGGACATCATAGAGTGCACTTACACAAACCTAGATAGTATAGCCTACTACACACCTAGGTTGTGTAGTATCGTGTATTGCTCCTAAGCTACACACCTACACAGCATATTATTCTACTGAATATTGTAGGCAGTTGCAACACAATGGTATTTATGTATCAAACATAGAAAAGGTATAGTAAAAATATGGTATAAAAGATAAAAATGGTAACCTGTGTAGGTCACTTAACCATGAATAGAGATTGCAGGACTGGAAGTTGCTCTGAATGAGTTGAGAGAGTGAGTGGTGAGTGAATGTGAAGGCCTAGGACATTATTGTCCACCACTGTAGATTTTTTAAGTACAGTATACTTAGGCTACATTAAGTTTATAAAAATATTTTTCTTTAATAATAAATTAACCATAGCTTACTGTGGTTAATTTTCAACTCTGTAAACTTTTTAATTTTTTTATCTTTTAAACTGTTTTTGCAATAACTTAAAACATAAATATTGTAGAGCTACACAAAAATCTTTATATCCTTATTCTATATTAATAGCTGTAAGTAATGCACTCACTGTGACATCATGATGGTACAACATCAATAGGTGATACAAATTTTTGACATCATGCCAACTACAAAGTCACTAGGCACTACAAATTTTTCAGCTCCATTATGATCTAATGGGAACACCTTCATATATACAGTCCATTGTTGACCGAAACATCCTTATGCGGTACATGACTATATATCTAAAACCTGATCTTCTCCCTTAAATCTGCATAGCCTACAGTTTTCCCCCTCTTTCCATGCTTCCATTGGCTAGACAGAATACTCGGAGACATCCTTAAATCCTGAATTTCTCTCATACCCACACCTGTAGTGTGTCAGTACATCCTATTAGCATTATCGCCATAATATATCCGGAACCTAGGCTTCCCTCAACCTCCTTACTGGTCTCATTGTTTCTCCACGTCCACAGACTCTTTTCAAAATAGCAGCTATTACAGTCCTGTTAATGTCAACTCCTATGCCCCCTCTGGTTGTAATATTTCCATAGCTTTCCCTCTTACCCAAAGTAAAAGACTGGGGCTGTAAACTGACTCCAAGGCCTTGTATCCTACGCTCCTATACTGCCTCTGTTACACATCTGAGTAGCCTTCTAGTATTAGCCTCTCTCCTCACTCCACTTTAACTAGGCTCTTTGTTCTATAAGTGGACCAGGCACACATGTGCCTCATAGCCTTTTGTTCTCTCTGCTTCCAGTGTTTTAACTTCTTATTGCCACATGGGTTACTTCAAGTCCTTCAGAGCTTTACTCAGATGATGCCATTTCAGTAAGAACATCTGTGACTACCTTTTTAAAAATGCTGTTGGCATGAATACTCTGGTACCTGTATTCCCCCTTAACTGCATAATTTTTCTCCATAGCGTCAATGACCATCTAACAAGATAGTTTATTTATTGCTTTGTTTTCTGTTTCACACTAGAAGGCAAGTTCCATGAAGGCAGGGGTTTTGGGTTGTTTTGTTAATTGCTGAATCCTCAGTGTCTGCAACAGTGCCTGGCACATAGTAAACATCAAGTATATATATTTTTAATGATATAATAATTGACATCTCTTTAAATTTCTAGTTTTTTAGCTAATTTTGTTTGTTTATCGTTAAATAGGATATCCAAATTATCTCATAAGGAAGTTTATGTTTGGCTTTCCAGAAAATTGGAAAGAGCACATTGATAATTTTCTAGAACAATTAAGGTAAAGTACTTTTTAACTTTTAAAAAAGACAGTTTTATTGAGGTATAATTTACATTTGATAGAGTGCACCCATTTTAGGTATACAATTTAATGAGCTTTTAAAAATGTATATACTCATATAACCAGTGTAAAGTGGTTTTAATTTCTTTTTATGGAAATGCCAGTTATGAAGTTCTCTTTCATCTTAGACTCAAAAGGCAGTAATACTTTTCTTGAATTTCTGTCATATGGAATAAATCTAAAAGGTAAATAAAACCTTAAGACATTTCAAGGAGTTGTTCTTAATCTACCCTTTAAGAGTCAACTAGTTGTTAAACACGAGTCTGAATGAAGTTCTTGGTCTTTTTTTCTTTCATTCATTTCCTCTGTAGTTATTGTATTGGTGCAGGAAAAGAAGAATTTGATTAATTCTTGCCCTTATGAAACTCATAGGGATTGAACAACAATAAAGTAAGTTTTAAAAAAAACCTCATAGGGGATAGATTGATGTAAGTTTATTCATTGTAATGCAGTGTAATAAGTTATAACAGGTTGGTATTTTTCTATAAAGGGCCAGATAATGTTTCTATGGGCATGTTCCTCTATTACCCTACTCAACTGTTTTTAGAGGAAAAGCAACCATAGACAGTACTTGAATGAATGAATGAATGAGTCTGTGTTTCAGTAAACTGTATTTACAAAAATAAGCAGCTGAGGCCCTGGCCACATAGCTCAGTTGGTTAGAGCATTGTCCCAACACGCAGAGGTTGCAGGTTTAATTCCCAGTCAGGACACGTAAAAGAATCAACCAATGAATGCATAAATATGTGGATCAACAAATCAATGTATATATGTCTGTTTCTCTCTCTCACTCGCTCTTGCTTTCTCTCTAAATACATAAATAACAGAATAAGCAACTGATGGGATTCGTCTTGCAGTTTTCTCATAGTATCAGCTTAAGTAGGAAATACAAAAGCATGGATTAGGAAGCACTTGAGGTTATATTGGAATCTTTTGACTTAAGATACTGTACATGAGTTTTTGTGGGGAAAGGTGTGGAAGCCATAAAGGCTTAAATAATCTAGGATTAAAGTAGTCTTTACTGTAGTGAAGAAAGCTTCACCTAAGAGAATTTCTTCTTTCTTTTCTTTTTTTCTTTCTGTCTTCCATCCATCCTTCCTTCCTTCCTTTTTCTTTTCTTTTTTTCCCCTTTCTTTCTTTCTCTCATAGGTATAGGGTTATAGTTAGGGTTAGTGTCAAAGGTTAGGTTAGGGTTTGGGTTGGGTTTAAAATTAGGGTTAGGGTTAGCTTTAGGGTTAGAGTTAAAAAGTTCAGGATTAGGATTAGGGTCTTTGGTATAGGGTTAGGTTTAAAAACTAGGGGTAGGATTAGTTTTAATTAAGGCTAGGTATAGTATTTGGACATAGTGTTAGGGTGATGGCTCAGGTTAGGGTTAATTTTAGAATTAGAGTAAGTATATGGTTAGGGTTGGGGTCAAGGTTAGAATTAAATTTAAAATTAGTAGCAATGTTAAGGTTAGAGTTATGGTTAGGGTTGTTATGCTATAGTTGGGGTTAGTAGGGTTATGTTTAGGGTTGAGGTTAAGCATAGGAGAATTTCATTTATTTGTGGGGGGAGTTGTTTTCATTTTTTTGAGACCTTTAGAGGAAAAATACTGTGTTTTTAGGGCCTATGAAAAGAAAAGGAGAGACACACAAAAACAGAAAAATGGAAGAATTGTCCCTGACATAGGAAAATCAATGAAAAATGATGCAGGAGAAAACCGAACATATGTCCTCCAAAGAACCAGCAGAATTTATGACTTTGATTGTAAACATTTAGGTATGTTTGCTCTTTTCTTCTCCATTGGTAACAGTGATACATTCTTACATAAGCCCCACATTGTTTAATTGTTTACAGTGCATATAGTATTGAGTTCACATAATGTCCTAAAATTTCTGCTTTTCCACTACTAGAGAAGAAACTGCAAAGCAGGTAACTCACAGTCATCATTCAGCTTGCATCATTAAATATCTTTTAATTAACCACACTACCAAGAATCCTGGTAAACATATCAGTGGAAGATAATTGTTCTTTCAGTTTCCTAGACTCAAGATATTGAGGCTGCCAGCCTACCTCACACCTACATTAAAGATGCCTTTATATTTGTATTAAATTTCATTCCTGTTTATGGACAAAACCAGTTTGCTTTTATGGAAGAAATGGCATGTGGTTTTGAATGACCATTGCTATAAAAGTAGCTGGCAAAACTGTCATCTCTTGGCCAACATTATAATTTGCCTCGCATCCCAACCCCTCCCCAGCCCCCTGTGGGAAAAAGCATGAACATAAATTAACTTACTGCTTTTTCTAGATTATAATAGATGAGTAAAAGTTACTAGCATCTGCTATATAAATTTCTGCTGATTCTACTCTGACCTTGTAATAAAGAGCTTTCCAGAACTTTAAGAGTTCAGGATTGCTTCTACCAAAAACATGATACCCATACTGGATGTCAGTCCTCCATCCCAGTGTACCCCACTTCCCTGTGTCTGTATTGCCCCACCCCCTTTGAAACTTTGCTTATCCTTTCTGCTACAAAGGAATGGATTAAATATGCAGATGACTACTTGCTTAGAAATAGCTAAAACTTACTCTTTATTGTTTCTCCAGTTCCTTCCCGTACCTTGCTCATTTTATTGAAAGTCATCCTATTGCCTGTAAATTAGACATATTGCTTGTTGTCATTGCTAGGTTCTCTTCAGTATTCTGGAGTTCTGGGGCTACAAGAATTGCTGTGTACCTTTTAGTCTTAGATCTTAACATCTTTCTACCCCATCCGTCCTTTCTCTTAGAGTAGTGTTTTTAAGGGATTTGCTAAATTGTGAATGTTACTGGTAAAGTGTTTGAGGATATAAATGTAAAACACTGAAGTTTAGTAAACTTTTATATGCCAACTGTGTCCATAGGAAAATCAGTCAACAAATATTTTTAAAGCACATTACATGAGCCTTGATCCATGTTAGTTGCTAGCTACTTAGAGATGAATAAGATGAGATGCCACCCCCTTTGGGATGCTCAAGCTTAAGGGGTTGATATTGTCTTCTGTTTTGGATATATCATTTTTCTAGTGTGATTTGTTAGATCTTTGTTTTATAAAACTATTAAGACATTGTGTGTTCTCATGTTATATATAAGTTACTTTGAGTGGTGGTGGTCAGTGCTGTTACTATATTTAATATCATCATTACACTTTTCATGAGAAAATCACTGAAATAAAACAAAACCTCTTCTAGCATTAAACGACTAAAGTTATGCAAAGGTACCAACCAATGATAACTTAAGATGATGTGATTGTGTGTATTTTAGTGATTCACCTAAAATGTGGTTTTGCATATTTAGTGCTATAATCTGTATGTCATAGCATTGCTATTATTTTATCTCTTATTATACTTGACCAGAGTATATTATAAATGATCTATTGAAAGATAAACCTCCTTCACTATACTGTAATAATCTCAAGAGCAGACCATCCATTATGTATCTTCAAGTACAGCTTCTCAGATGCTAAAAATGTTTTCATGGTTTTATGAGTACTTTTTAATTTATCTGGATTTGAGCTCAATAACTGTTAAGCTTATATTGTATACTGTATAATTTGGTTTTGCTTAAAATTTTAATTAGCATGGATTTAGTTATACATTGGTGTATATAAAGTAATTGAAACATAAGAATTCAATATACATGAAGAAATATCAGAGAAATAGAGTTACTAGCTTGCTGTTTAGTTGATATGGAGTTAAGATGAACAGCAATTTATTTGCAAAACAGTTTAACATTTCTATTTTGCCTGTAGATGTGACAAAGGAGATCCAAAGTAGATAATAATGAATAATATGGCTATTTTTTTTAAGAGAGTAAAAGTAATTTGAACAAAACATCGCCCTATGCAGAGTGATTCTGTTCAAATTGCTTTATATCATAATCAAATTTAACAAATATTTATGACATTAGATTACACAGACTTATCTTTTATGTAATTATTTGTTGAAATCTCCATCCTTATACTCATAGAACTGAAGAATAATAAACACAGTAAGTCGCCAGTAACTACAGAATTAAACATTTGCCAGAGTTATCACCAAAATAAGCCACCACTCATGTTCCCAAGTGACCAGATAGATAATACTGTTCAAAGTGGAGGAGAATATAACTTATCTAATCAGGTAAGCTTTTACTGTACACTGTACAGGGGTGGTGTGACACTGAAAAGGTTTGGGACCAAATCAGAAATTATGAGTTCTGTTTGTTAAGTATCACTTTCAATAGTTTTGACACTGTAAGTAAATGTCTTAATATTTGCTTTCCCAGTGTCTCATTAGAAAAAAATAGGCAACAATAACAAAAGCTCTTAGCTCTTAGCTCTTAGCTCTTAGTTTTAGCTCTTAGAGTAAGGCTTAAGTAAAGTATATTATATATGTATGTATGTATACATATATAAGCACTTTTCAAATAGCATTATTCAATTAGTAAAGGAAATGTGTGAGAATGTCAGTACCCACATGGTGCTTCCAAAGCTTGAGCTCTGAATGCCTCCACAAAGGAAATTTGTATGTTTGACTCAATACTGTGAAAATGCTTGAGGTCATGTTTATAGGCAGTACCTGTTATAGTAAAAATTTACCTTTTGATTTTGAAGGAATTGATTGGAAAAAAAGAATGTAAAAAGTTGTCTTCAGAGAAACTCAAAAATTGTAAAAGAAGAACAGATGAAAAGATAATTGAGAGTCAGAAGCAAGGTAATACATTTTTATTGGTTTTGTAATAAATAGAAAGCTATTTGAAATTTAAAAAAATTTTTTTTTAATTTTACTTATTTATTTTTAGAGAGGGAGGGGAGGGAGATAGAGAGAGAGAGAGAAACATCAATGTGCAGTTGCTGGGGGTCATGGCCTTGCAAACAAGGTATGTACCCTGACTGGGAATCAAACCTGCGACACTTTGGTTCGCAGCCTGAGCTCAATCTACTGAGCTACACCAGCCAGGGCTTGAAATTTTTTAATATAATAAAAATAATCTCATAAATTCCCAAATCTAAAATGGTAGACCAACTATTTCAATGCTCTTTCAGTGATTAATAATGTTTGATACTATTTTTTTCACAGAAGAATGATGTACATAGAAATAGTTCATTACATTAAGTATTAGATTCCATTATAGGTTTGCCTTCTTTGATCTGGGTATTTTTTAATAATTTTGTATAGAACACAAAATGTATATTTTATTAAATTGGTAATTAACCAGAAGTTAGTTTTGTATAAATGTGGCTTTTCAGAGTGATTTCATTGAAATCCCACATACCAGAATGTATAGAACCTTTTCTCTGTGCATTAGCAAGTTTATAATTTCATGTTGAGTTAAATCTATCAGCTTAATAGCATTTTTTCTATTTTATAATGAAATTAGTAAAAATGTTTTGGTCAAAATTAGAAAGTTTGGAATTGAGCATTTGAATCATATTTTTGTGAAAATTAGAAGAAAACACTCTACGCATAATGTGAAGATAAAATTATTTCATTAAGAAGCCTTGTAGAAGCTTTCTTGATTTTGATTAGTACCACTTCATGAATTATAATTTATAAGGTTCTTTTCTTGTCATTCATCTTTAACACGACACATAGTATGTATAGATTGTTGACAGTATGTCACTGATGATTGGTGTGATCATTTATAATTTGTATCTATTTTATAATTACAATTGGATCATTTAAAGTCAGAAATTAAATAGTTTGGCTTCTGGTTTCTTAAGTTTTAGATTTGAGAATTTCATTTTAATTTGCTTTAGCCAGTGACATGTTATAATAAAGACTTGTAGGTTCTATTTTGGTTGTTATGCCATGATGATTCATAAAGGTTTTAGGGATTCAGCAAAAGAGTATCTTTTATGTCTACCATCAGGGATGAAAATGAGGCCATGCAGATAAAGTTCCATGTTCTCCTCATTCCATGCTTAATTAATACAGCTTCTATTTCATATATTACACACCCAGTAAGGTTTTAGCAACCCTATTGTCTTTCTTATGTCTTTTAAATATTTTAGCTCCAAAGAGTTGATATAACAAATATTTATTTAGCATGTACTATATACGTGAAAAGACTTTGAATTAGCATCAGCCAAAAAAATCCAAAAATGAAGACAAAGTATATTAAGTATTTTTTAAATATTTTATTTATTTATTTATTTATTTTTAGAGGTGGGGGAGGGGGGATTGAGTGAGGGAAGGAAACATCAGTGTGTGGTTAACTTCTCACATGCCCCCTACTGAGCACCTGGCCCACAACCCACGCATGTGCCCTGACTGGGAATTGAATCGGCAACCTTTTAGTTCACAGGCTGGCGATCAGACCACTGAGCCACACCAACCAGGGCTAGCTAAGTTTTCAGTCCAGTTGAAAGATAAGTGTAATTATATGCAGGGTACATTGTCAGACGTGGCCTTATTTAGAAGTGTTCTGGAAATTTGAGGGAGCCTTCATCCAGAGGTAATCAGGACAATTTGTGGACTAGGTAAGTTAGAGAATAGAATTGAAGCATGTAGTGATTTGGTTTGAAAATATGAAGGAAACTTTCCAAGTATAGTGAAGGCTGAGAATTTTAAAAATTTGAGAAACAGTGGTCTCATAGACACAGAATATTATTCAGATGTGAGTACAGTAAGAGATTAGAACTACACTGAAGGGCAGGTGGAGGAGTTCATATGCACACTAAGTAGACTGTGAGAAGTCATGGACAGGATGGTATAAAAAATAGTGTGTTTATGATCGAAGGGGCAGTAATCTAAACAGATTCATGCTTCAAGGAGATTAATATGACAGTAGTGTGGACAGTGGGGTTTATGGGAAAAATAGTATGTTTTATATGTGAAAATAGTTTTTCTGTATTTTGTTTGTAATTTGAGATTTTAATCTTTGGTTTTGTCTTACGAAATTAAAGAGCAAACTGAAGAATCGAATGTATCCCTTGATATTATCATCTCAAGAGAATCACCTTTCTCAGACAAAGAAAGAAAATATATGACTGCTAACCAGAAGAAGGCTTATGTTGTAGTAACACCTCTGAAATCTAAAAATGTGATAAAGCAAAAATGTGTGAAGTATAATGTGTCCTCTGCTACCATTAAAGCAGTAACAGATTTTATAGTGCCAAAGCTTCAAAGAGAAAGTGAATCAGACTTAAATGAAACTACATGTCCTATCAGTAAGCCCAGAAAGACTTCCAAAAAAGCATTTGAGTGTGGTGCGGGTCATGAAAGTGGAAACAATGAAGATAGCATTGAACGAGATATACTCACTGTCAACCAGAAAATTATACCTAGTTCTGAAAAGAAACAAATGGTCACTTTTGACTTTAAGGAAAATACAGCATTGTTACCAAAATTGAAGAAGATTGAAAAGCAAGTAACTATGTCATTCAACAAGCATCAGTCCTCAGATTTGTCTGCTGACAAGAGTGAAACAGAAAAGAAAATTAGAAGAAAAGCTGGAAGTGTTAAGGAAATCAAAGCAAGAAATACCAAAGAAACAGTAGTTCACCAGAGGAAAAGCAGAAGGGATACCACAGGGAAAATCCCAGTGATTTCTGAAACTGAAGGAAGTGAAAATGAATTTCATATCAAAAAAAAGAAAGCTAGATGTTCTAAAAAAAATGTTCAGAAATCCGGTATTAGGAGTGAGTTGCCAATTTCTGACACAGTGAGATCTGAGATGAAGAGTTATTCCTTAGAATGCTTACCTGGTTTAATTCAGAATGAGGAATGGAATGAAAAAGAAATACAGAAGCTTCATTGGTAAGTAGTTAGATTTGATTCTGAAATATCTAGAGTGACCACAAAATAGTTGAAGACATAAGGAACTCCAATGAGGAGCTGATTTAATGATTAGAAATTATTAAATGGAGTGTGTAATCCAAAAACACATGGAGAGAAATTTCAATTTATACAGAGAATGGGGGAAAAGTGTAGATAACTGCCAACTAGATGGTACTTTGTGGCCATCTACATGGCCTACATGTGAAGAAACTTCCTCACATGTAAGTGAACTTCTTTTCTTTTTGTTCCCATTTAATATTTCAAATACACCCCTTCCCCCACCCGCCTATCCACCAAAGAAAGGAAACTATGTGAGGGGATGGATGTGTTAATTAACTTGATTGTGGTGATTTTACTGTGTGTGTGTGTGTGTGTGTGTCTGTCTCAAATGACCATGTGTAGACTTTATATGTAGTTTCACTGGTTGATTATACCTTGATAAAGCTGGGAAAAATATTTCAACACAGCTGTACATTTTAAGGAATATTTTATATTCCTTAAAGCCCTGGTTGGCGTAGCTCAGTGGATTGAGCATGGGCTGCGAACCAAAGTGTCGCAGGTTCGATTCCCAGTCAGGGCACATGCCTGGGTTGCAGGCCATGACCCCTAGCAACCACACATTGATGTTTCTCTCTCTCTTTCTCCCTCCCTTCCCTCTCTAAGGATAAATAAATAAAATCTTTTAAAAAAAATATTTTATAATTAAATTCACCATTATAAAACCTTCAAACATAGAGATTTTTTTAATAGTTCTCTGTCCTGCCCCACCCCACCATCCCTCCCACCCCCCCGTTTATGGAGAATAGTCTCAAAGGTTTCCAAGGTTTCATAGTTGATGCTGCTAATAAGAACTGTATTTGGCCACATAGACCTGACAAGCAATATCAACAGTCTAGTAGTATTAGAAGCCAGATCATAGTTGATCAGTGAAGAGTGAATAGAAGAATAAAGGCAACTTCAGTGGACAACAAGAAATCTGGCAATAATAGGGAACAGAAAAATGCATAGATAATAGAAGAGAGTGTAAAGATAAGGGAAGACATATGTTTGGTTGCTTACTTAATTTGTAAGATGGCTTATGCAGTAGTATGATGGTTTGCTGATAGAAATGATCTAGTAGAAAGAAAGGAAGCTATGACTGATAAAAGAGATAAGGATAGCCCTGACCAGTGTGGCTTAATTGGTCATCCCACAAAGCAAAAGGTCGCCAGTTCAATTCTTGGTCTGGGCACATTCTTGGATTGGGTTTGGTCTGCAGTCGGTCAGGGTTTGTGTGTGAAAGAGCTGATCAATGTTTCTCTCATTGATGTTTTTCTCCCTATTTCTCCCTCCCTGTCCCTCTCTCTAAAAATGAATAAATAAAATCTTTAAAAAAGAGAGGATAACATAGAAACATGCCACATTGTGTTCCACTCCCTTATGTACCTCCAAACCTTGTAACATTTGGAATTCATTTTCAAATCTGCCTCCCTGAAATTCTCTCAACACATCCCTGTGCTACTATATATACTCTTCCTTTTTCAGTTGCCTAAATGTTCCTTCTCTTTCTTCAGGCAGAGAAGGTAATCTTCATTCTTTTTTTTTAAAGTATATTTTATTGATTATGTTATTACAATTTTCCCAGTTTTTTTTTCCCTTTATCCACCCTCCAACCCCTAACCCTCTAGTATGCCCCCCCACCTCCTTAGTTCATGTCCATGGGTTGTACATATAAGTTCTTTGGCTTCTCTATTTCCTATAGTATTCTTAACCTGCCCCTGTCTATTTTATGCCTACCATTTATGCTTCTTATTCCTTGTACTTTTCTCCCACATTCCTCCCCTACTTCTCCCCACTGAAAACCCTTGATATGATCGCCATTTCTCTAGTTCTGTTCCTGTTTTAGTTGTTTGCTTAGGTTTTCTTTTTGTATTTTAGGTTCAGTTGTTGATAGTTATGAGTGTGTTGTCATTTTACTGTTCCTATTTTTAATCTTTTTCTTAGATGAGTCCCTTTAACATTTCATATAATAAAGGCTTGGTGATGAACTCCTTTAACTTTACCTTATCTGAGAAGTACTTCATCTGCCCTTCCATTCTAAATGAAAGCTTTGCTGGGTAGAGTAATCTTGGATGTAGGTCCTTGCCTTTCATGACTTGGAATACTTTCTAGCCCCTTCTTCTTTTTTATATTTTTAAGATTTTATTTATTTATTTTTTAGAGAGGGAAGGGAAGGAGAAAGAGAGAGAGAGAAACATCAATGTGCGGTTGCTGGGGGTCATGGCCTGCAACTCAGGCATGTGCCCTGACTGGGACTCGAACCTGCGACACTTTGGTTCGCAGCCCGTGCTCAATCCACTGAGCTATGCCAGCCAGGGCTAGCCCCTTCTTGCCTGTAAGGACTCTTTTGAGAAATCAGCTGACAGTCTTGTGGGAACTACTTTGTAGGTAACTGTCTCCTTTTCTCTTGCTGCTTCTAGGATTCTCTTCTTCATTTTAATCTTGGGTGATACAATTATGATGTGCCTTGGTGTGTTCCTCCTTGGGTCCAGTTTCTTTGGGACTCTCTGAGCTTCCTGGACTTCCTGGAAGTTTATTTCCTTTGCCGGATTGGGGAAGTTCTCCTTTATTATTTGTTCAAATAAGTTTTCCACTTGTTGCTCTTCCTCTTCCCCTTCTGGTACCCCTATAATTCAGATGTTGGAATGTTTAAAGATGTCCTGGAGGTTCCTAAGCAAGCCTCTCCTCATTTTTTTTGAATTCTTGTTTTTGCATTATTTTCTGGTTGGATGTTTCTTTCTTCCTTCTGGTCCATACCGTTCATTTGAGTCTCAGTTTCCTTCCCATCACTGTTGGTTTCCTGTACATTTTCCTTTATTTCACTTAGCGTAGCCTTCATTTTTTCATATAATTTGCGACCAAATTCAACCAATTCAGTGAGCTTCCTGATTACCAGTGTTTGAAGTGTGCATCTGATAGGTTGGCTATCTCTTCATTGCTTAGTTGTATTTTTTCTGGAGCTTTGATCTGTTCTTTCATTTGGGCCACTTTTTTTTTTTTTTGTCCTGATGCGCTTGTTACGTGGTAAGGGGCAGAGCCTTAGGTGTTCACCAAGGCAGCGCAACCCACGTTGCTGCATTATGGTGCTATATGTGGGGGAGGGGTCCGAGAGGGAACAATGGTGCTTGCTCTGCTCTCTGCTGGATTTCAGTCACTTCCTCTGCTTTTCACAAGCAGTTTGTGCCCTTCTGATGCTAATTCCTATGTGGGTAGGTTTGTGTACGATCTAGGACCCTGTGGGTCTCTCCAATGAACTCTCCTTTTAGGCTGGGAGTTTCTCCCACTGCCACCTCAACCCGCATAGGTATTTTCAATGGGTAATTTGAGGCTTTATTCTCCCCACCTTACCCCACCCACCCCCATGTGCTGGGGCTCTGGGTCGCACAGTCCGTCCCGCTCCCCAGTTGTTTCTCTTGGTTTTTCTGCATACAAATGTGGTACCACCCAAGTCTGCAATCCGCCACCTTGCTGGGTCTGCCACCTGTGGCTACCTTGCCATGAGTCCTCTCCACCTAGCTGTCCATTTCTGCCCCTCCTACCGGTCTGGATGAATGTGTCTTCTTTAAGTCCTTGGTTGTTGGACTTCCATACAGTTAGATTTTCTGTCAATTCTGGTTGTTTTTTGTTTTTTAATTGTTGTTGTCCCTATCTTGGTTGTGCAAGGAGGCACAGTGTGTCTACCTATGCCTCCATCTTGGCCGGAAGTCTGTCAGGTAATCTTCATTCCTATTCTCCAGGGTTTTTGGTTTGGCTGCTTTCTTTTTTGTCAGTGATGTTTTCCTCCCAAAATTCTAACTTCTTCTTTGTATAGGGACTTCCAAATCTGTGTCTTTAACCCTGAATTCTTGTATTTAGGCTTATATTTCCTTTGCTTGTTGGAAAACTGTACATTAGTCTCACCCATGTATCTAAATATATCAAAAAACAAATTTATTTCCCCTGCTTGTATACTTTTGCCTGGCATTTTTATTTCTGAAAATGGAGTTTTTTTCAGTCAACTAGGTTTGAACTCTTTATTATTATTGAGTTTTAAAACATTTAATTAATTCCCAGGGAGCTATAGATTCTTCCACAGTGTCATTCCATCTGCACATTCTTCCACAGGGTCATTCCATCTGCACCCTTTTTCTTGAGACTGCTCTTTTTCAGATCTTTAATGCCTGTTGCTTAAACTATGGAAGTAGCCTTCTATTTGTACTTTGTTCTTTTCATCTGTGTAGTCTGTCATATACATCTCCAGATTAGTCTTAATGGATAGTTTTGGTACTAGAAAATCAAAAACCTTCATTGCATTCTTACTAATCTTTAATTTATATGGAGATTTTTCTGTCTTGCATTACAGCACATAATATATTGACCTCAGTTATTCTTTCCAGCTTATCCCCCATCATTTTCTTATAATAAAAGGTTCTCAACCTTTGTTGTGTATTTAGATCATCTAAGGAGATTTTTTAATGCTTCAACTGCAGCATTAAGGCTACTAATGCTGGATTAAAGCTACTACTACATGCATGCTTTTGCTTCTACTATGTAGCTATAAAACCTGGACAGAATGCATACAGCAGCTTTTTGTTGACTCAGGAAGATAAATAGTAGCCGGTCAATTGGGAAAGATTAAAATTTAAGTACTACCAAACTGTCAGCGAATTTCCGGTTTTCCTCTGGTATCCCCCAAGCTAAACTTAAGGCTGCTTAACACTTGGAAGTGGGCACTGTGGCACAACAAAGTGTTAAGAGAAGCCCTCCAGTTCTGATGTGAGGAGTAGGAAAGGGTATTACTAACACTACAGAATTACAGAAACAGTAGGGGAAATGCCCCAGTTCTCTTTTTCTCGTTTCTCTTATACCCCAGTTCCGTGCAGTCCTGCGGGGATGAAAATCACAGCAGCCAATGGGGCCCACACATACCTAAAATTCTGAAAGTGGGGGACCTTCCTCTC